AAAATCAGTTCATGCTTATTTTTAAATAAAATAAAATATATGTGTTTTGTCGTTATTAATATAAATTCAAAACTGAAAAAAAAATAATAGGATAAGAAAAAAAATGTAGATATATTGTACAATTTAATTTAGACTAGTTTTTTTTAAATATTTTGATTCCGACTTTTAGGTAAATATTTTCTAAAATTAGTTAGATAAGTTTAAATCTTTTTTTTCCCCCTCTTCTGGTTGAAGTTTAGTTTGGATTCCTCAAATTTATCCTATTTTAGTTTGATCCTCAAAGATTTATATTTTAATCTCAAAAACTTTAATAAATTTAAAAAAAATACAAAATTGTTTTCTTATCACTTCAAATTGTTCTCGAAAATTATCACACTTTAATGTTTTCTTATTACATCAAATTATTTTCTGGAAATTCACACACTTTAACCTTATCTTTTCTCCTCGAAAATTATAGATAAATGCTAATAAAAAATAAATTTGACTTTTCCATTAACTTTTGACCCAAATTTCAACAGTAAGCTCTAAAGCCTATTCAACCATCCAAGACTAATACAAAAACTTTCAAACTCAAACGAAGGAAATTAAAAAAAAAAGAGTAAACTTTAAGAACCAAAACTATATTTTAGGCCTTACAAAGATTCAGACAGAATTTTGTACCAAAAGTGTTGAGAAATTTTATCAGTCACAGCCAAATTCTTCCACCCATTTGATATTTCAAAGGCATCAGTGTAATAAGCAGCAGCAGCAGAAGCAGAGGGATTGTGGAAAATTATAACCTGTCATGAAGCTGTAAGGAAAACTAAGAGAAATGGATATGGCTGAACCATTTCTAGTTTACCTAAGAAGAAGGAATTTGTGTACACTTTCAGCCATTTCCTTCCCAAACTCTCCATTGATGTGAATTTTACCATTTGGGACTTTAGTATGTTGTGGATGATGATGATGTATCTCCTTTATTTGCATTGCCTAGGTCGGAAATTCTCGTCCGATAGTAGAGAGCTTATGAGGGTTTCGAGCCGTTTTGCTCCCGGACCAGGTCTCAATACGTTGGGACTGCCGGTGATCGAGCATGGATCGGTCCCATTTTCGTGGCTTCCAATGCACCAGCCACCGGGAACGAGCATGTCGGGGGCTTTGTGTAGGAGTTGCTGGTCGATTTGGTCGAGCACGGGGTCTTCTCCGACGAACTTCCGTGCGAATGGAGCGTTACTATCTATCATCCTTTGCATGTCATCGAGATTGAGATGGTGAGGATGTTGTTTGGGAGGATTGTCCCATGATATGAAATGGAGATCGCTGTTCACGGTTGTATTTTTGAACTGTTGAGCATTGCAGATAACGGTGTGGAAGTACCCTTCTGGAGAAGATATGAAGTTGGCATAATACATGAGGACGATCCGAGGTAGGTTTTCCCACCCCCATATGCAATAGTCAATAAAAGGCCGAGAAAGCGCCATCCAAGCAGAACCTGCGAGAAGGCAAGAATTCGATAAAATAACACCCATCGAAACGTTCATATGCTTAACAAAACATAATTCAAAGGAAAGATCCAGTTTGTTAACATCTCCTTCAATTTTCCAATATCATTGCTGAAGATCTAAACGCAAACCAATCCAAAAAGAAAGTGCACAAAATGAACATTTATTGATATTCCAACACTAAAATTGACAACCCGCAAATCACGAGTTAACGCAGAACACAATACAGTATTTGCACCTTTGAACAATGTATCTAAGCTTAAATAATAAATCAACACAACAATCTAATCATCCTAGCCAAAAGAAAAAGGTTCGTTCACATCCTGCGAGTTGTTTCGCTCTCTTAAAAAATTCGATTCAGGCATCCCACTCCTTTCATTATTCTCATGACCCACCACAAATAGCGGGAGGATTCGCCCACCCGAAGGCCAATATTACTTTATCTTTCTAAATTAGCCTTCCAACAAGGAAGAAATGAATTTTCCATAAAGATGACCTACATTGAACTTCTCTATCACCAAATCATCTTCTAAGAAAGAGATTTTTCACCCTAACTTGTAACTACCAGAAAACATAAGAAAATGGTTCCACCAAGACATTCAGGTAACCACACACACAATGTGAAGGAACATAATAAAACATGAATCAACTACATTTATATAAGTAACACTTGGTACCTAACAGTCTGAAAGAAAACAGAATATCAACGAATATCACTCGGCAACTAAAAGGTTTCTCAATTTCTTCTCCTCCCGAAATACAGACGAAGTTAGTTGAACTACTGGTTTCAATACCACCAGTTATATATATAATCTAAGAACTCGGAAAGCAACATCTTTTTGACTGCCTGTCACTGCTCAGTCGAAGCCTCCAAAGCAAGAAATTTTCATAACGATCAAAAATTTAAATTCTGGGGGTAAATAAGAAGGAAAAACTTTAAAATCTTTTCACTAAGTATACAATTTTTTTTTAATACAAGAGAAACCGAGTGGGGTAATCATTCTCTTTTCGACCTGCTCTGTTATCTAGCTGACGAATGGAGGAAAGCAGGGAAGAGGAAAATTACAAAGACCATGTGACGATATCAAAAGAAATTTAGAAGGCAATATTAGATCTTCATAAGACTGTCTCCAAGAACTGTTATACTATACACATATCAAAAGAAAAACAGCTCCATTTGTAACCTATAAGAACAGACTATAAGAAAAAACAGATAACAAGAAATTACAGACAATATCTATTCAAACAGAAACAGAAAATTGATATGAAAAACAAGTCCTGGACAAGACTTGAAGACTTACCTGTGAAGAGTTTGAAGGCTGTTGGCACACTTCTTCGCTGTGTAATCCAAAACACATCAGCTTTCTTTGACATATACAACCCCGGATCAATAATCACTGGTTTAGCCCTTTGGCTCCTACAAAAATCAACACTCAATTTCATATGAATTCCTCAAAAAAACAGGCCAAAGAGTGAACAGAAACACGAAGTCAAAGAAGAACATGTTGCTTACTCTTTCCATCCAATGTTACTGGTATGATCAATGAAATTGAGATCACGAGGCAAGTAAGAGAAAGTGTGCAGCAGATCTAGTAAAATAAAACCCAGAACCCATCAACCATTTTTGCGAAATCATTTGCAAAACCCAACTGAATTGAAGAAATGAAAAATAAAGGGGGAAAAAAACTACCCACCATCTTGAGTAACAAGCGGGTAATCGGAAGCACTGAGGTTGATGAACCAATCC